TTGCATATCTGAGGTTATTAATATTTCTCCCAGCAATCTTGATTCCAGCTGTACTTCATCCACCTCAGCATTTCATATGATGTACTCTGCATATAAGTTAAATAAGCAGGATGACAGTATACAGCCTTGATGAACTCCTTCCCTGATTTGAAACCAACCTGTTGTTTCATGTCTGCTTCTAACTGTTGCTTCTTGACCTGCATACAGGTTTCTTAGGAGCCTGGTCAGGTGGTCTGGTATTCCCATCTCTTGAAGAATTTTCCACAGTTTGTTGTGATCCACATAGTCAAAGGCTTTAGCGAAGTCAGTGAAGTAGAAGTAGATATTTATATGGAATTCTGTTGATCCAACAGATGTTGGCAATTTGATCTCTGGTCCTCTGCCTTTTCTAAATCCAACTTGTACATCTGGAAGTTCTCAGATCATATTCTTTGAAACCTCGTTTGAAGGATTTTGAGCATTACCTTGCCAGCATGTGAAATGAGCACAGTTGTATGGTGGTTTGAGCTTTCTTTGGCATTGCCCTTTTTTGGGATTGCAATGAAAACTGACCTTTTCCAGTCTTGTGGCCACTGCTGAGTTTTCCAAATTTTGCTGCCATATTGAGCATGGTACTTTAACAGCATCATATTTTAGGATTTGAATTAGCTCTGATGAAATGCCATCACCTCCTCTAGCTTTGTTCATAGTGATGCTTCCTAAGGCTCACTTGACTTCATAATCACAGGATGTCTATCTCTAGGCAAGTGATTACACCATGGTGGTTATCTGGGTCATTAAGACCTTCTTTGTATAATTGTTCTATGTATTCTTGCTACCTCTTCTTAATCTCTTCAGCTTTGTTCAGTTCAGTTCAGCTGATCAGTCGTATCCAACTCTTTGCAACCCCATGGACTGCTGCACGCCAGGCTTCCTTGTCCATCACCAACTCCTGGAGTTTTCTCAAGCTCATGTCCATTGAGTCAGTGATGCCATCCAACCATCTCATCCTCTGTTGTCCCCTTCTCCTCCCGTCTTCAATCTTTCCCAGATCAGGGTCTTTTCAAATGAGCCAATTCTTTGCATCAGGTATACTTTGCCAAAGTATAAGAGTTTCAGCTTCAACATTAGTCCTTCCAATGAATATTCAGGACTGATTTCCTTTAGGATGGACTGGTTGGATCTCTTTGCAGTCCAAGGGACTCTCAAGAGCCTTCTCCAACACCACAGTTCAAAAGCATCAATTCTTCAGTGCTCAGCTTTCTTTATAGTCCAACTCTCAACACCCATACATGACTACTGGAAAAACCATAGCTTTGACTAGACAGACTTTTGTTGGCAAAATAAAGCTGTCTATGTTGGTCATAACTTTTCTTCCAAGGAGTCAGCGTCTTTTAATTTCATGGCTGCAGTCACTATCTGCAGTGATTTTGAAGCCCCCCAAAAATAATGTCTGTCACTGTTTCCACTGTTTTCCCATCTATTTACCATGAAGTGATGGGACCAGATGGCATGATCTTAGTTTTTTGAATGTTGAGTTTTAAGCCAACTTTCCCTCTCCTCTTTCACATTCATCAAGCGGCTCTTTAGATCTTCTTCTCTTTCTGCCTTAAGGGTGGTGTCATCTGCATATCTGAGGTTATTGATATTTCTCCTGGCAGTTTGATTCCAGCTTGTGCTTCATCCAGCCCAGCGTTTCTCATGATTTACTCTGCCTATAAGTTAAATAAGCAGAGTGACAATATACAGCCTTGACGTACTCCTTTCCCTATTTGGAACCAGTCTGTTGTTCGACGTTCCATTCTAACTGTTACTTCCTGACTTGCATACAGATTTCTCAAGAGGGAGGTCAGATGGTCTGATAGTCCCATCTCTTTCAGAATTTTCCAGTTTGTTTTGATTCAGCTTAGTTAAGTCCATACAATTTATGTCCTTTATTGTGTCCATCTTTGCATGAAATGTCCCCTTGATATCTTTTACTTTTCTTGAAGAGGTCTCTAGCCTTTCTCATTTTATTGTTTTCCTCTATTTCTTTGCATTATTCACTTAAGAAAACTTTATCTCTCCTTACTATTCTTTGGAACTCTGAGTTCAGTTGGGTATATGTTTCCCTTTCTCTTTTGCCTTTTCCTTCTCTTCTCTTCTCAGCTATTTGTAAGGCCTCCTCAGACAGCCATTTTGCCTTCTTGCATTTCTTTTTCTTGGGGACAGTTTTGGTCACTGCCTCTTGTACATTGTTACAAACCTCTGTCCATAGTTCTTCAGGCACTCTATCTATCAGATCTAATCCCTTGAATCTATTTGTCGCTTCCACTATATAATCATAAGGGATTTGATTTAGGTCACACCTGAATGACCTAGTGGTTTCCCCTATTTTCTTCAATTTAAGTCTGAATTTTGCAATAAGGAGTTCATTATCTGAGCCACAATCAGCTCCCAGTCTTGTTTTTGCTGACTGTATAGAGCTTCTCCATCTTTGGCTGCAAAGAATATAATCAATCTGATTTCAACATTGACCGTCTGGTAATGTCCATGTGTAGAGTCGTCTCTTGTGTTTTTGGAAGAGGGTGTTTGCTATGACCAGTGTATTCTCTTGACAGAACTCTGTTAGCCTTTGCCCTGCTTCATTTTGTCCTTATATTGCCTAGGTAATTTTGGTGTTTCAAATGAGACAGAATCACTGTGATAGTTGAAAATAAAAAATTTTAAATATAAGACAAATTTGAGACTAATTTTTAGCTAGCATGTTCCTGTCTCCAAAGTTTAGACTTTTTTTGACAGTCAAATGAATTTACAACATATTTGAAGTCAAGAAGGTACAGATATATTTTCCAGGCAGTTAGGGATTAGAGAATGAAAATGATCTATACTCCTAAGGATAAGTGGTAGATTTCCAGAGTCAGAGACTCTGCACCATGACCCTTTTAGTCCTTTGGGGCTGCATGATCATCTGGTCTCAGGAAGTGTTGTTGTTGCTGTTGTTGTTGTTGTTGTTTTCATTTATTTTTATTAGTTGAAGGCTAATTACAATATTGTAGTGGTTTTTGCCATACATTGACATGAATCAGCCATTGATTTACATGTGTCCCCCGTCCTGATACCCCCTCCTGCCTCCCTCCCCATCCCATCCCTCTGGGTCATCCCAGTGCACCAGCCCCGAGCACTTGTCTCATGCATCCAACCTGGGCTGGTGCTCTGTTTCACACTTGGTAATATACATGTTTCAATGCTATTCTCTCAGATCATCCCACCCTCGCCTTCTCCCACAGAATCCAGAAGTTTGTTCTATACACCTGTGTCTCTTTTTCTGTCCTGCATATAGGGTTATCATTACCATCTTCTTAAATTCCACATATATGTGTTAGGTATACTGTATTGGTGTTTATCTTTCTGGCTTACTTCAGTCTGTATAATGGGCTCCAGTTTCATCCATCTCATTAGAACTGATTCAAATGTATTCTTTTTAATAGCTGAGTAATATTCCATTGTGTATATGTACCATAACTTTCTTATCCATTCGTCTGCTGAGGAGCATCTAGGTTGCTTCCCTGGCCTCAGAAAGTTTTTGAATAAGTTATCAAATTAACAGAAAGATTAAGCTGACATGTTTGTCACTGTCAAAGCATGATAATTATTATCAAAATTATCATTCATTTATTTATAGAAGTTTTTATGTAGTAGTGCTGATCAACATTTTTGTATTACATATTTTTAAACTTTTTTATATATTTTTTTCCTAAGGAGGTTTAAAAAATGATGCTAATCTTTTTCTTTATACTTTCTGAGGTTTTGATCATGCTTACAAAAGCCTTTCAATTCCCCAACATTATTTTTTTTTAAATATTCCCACATTTTCTCCTAACATTTTATGACTTAACTATATTTACATTTAAATAATTACACATCTGGCATTTATTCTTTTCTCTCCTTTTCTTTAAACTTTGTTTTTATTGAAGTAAGATTCAAATAATATAGAATTCAAACATTTTAAAATGAACAACATAGTGGCATTTAATACATTCCAAAATATTTTCATCATTCCAGAAACAACCCCATGTCCATTAAGCAGTTACTTCCCATCCCCTAGCCTCTGGCAGCGACCAGTTTGCTCCTTGTCCCTATGGATATACCTATTCTAGATATTTCTTGTAAATAGAAGAGTAAAATAGGTGATCTTTTCTGTCTAGCTTCTTTCACTTAGTGTAATTTTTTTTTTTTTAGTTTCATCCTCATTGAGTCATGTATAGTACTTCATTCTTTTCTATGGCCGAATTTTATTCCATTGTCTGGTATATGCCCCAATTTGTTTATCCAGTCATTCACTGATGATCATTTGGGTTGTTTCCACCTTTGGCTACTGGTAACTACTACTATAAGCTTGTGTATACAAATATTTGAGTACTAATTTTCATTTATTTTGGATATATACCTAGAATGGAGTTGTGATAGCTATTCTTATATAAAGAATGAGATAAATTCAGCATTTTTTTTTTTTTTTTGCCTAAAATCTAGCCTTTTGCCTTAGTTCCATTTCTTGTTATCTTTCCTCTACTAATTTAGGATGCTTCCTTTGTTATACATTAACTCCCTATTGTACTTGTGTTTATTTCTTAGCTGTCCATTTTGTTCTATTTTTCTGTCCAGCTGTCTACCAGACCACAGGTTGCCCCACCCCTGTCTTTGTATAATTACTGTTTTAACATTTGGACAGGAAAGTCTGCTCCTCACCCCTACTCCCATCCTTTAGTCATAATTTCCCTTGCTTGTTCCATATTTTTATTCTTTCAGATAAGCCTTTCATTCTTTTCTATCAATAGCATTATGGATACTCAATATCTTCTTGACATTCACATGCAAAATTACTATTTTAAATTGAACTTAAGAAAATGGTCAAGAATCCCATATCTAAATGAAAATGAATATTCATTGTACACTTCAGTGCAGTCATTAATCAGTTACATTGTAGTGAATGAAGTTTCACATTTTAGCTAAAGTGGTGTTTTTTTGTTTTTTTTTTTTAGCTTTAAAATCTGAAGGGGATGATTACTATATTAATGGTGCCTGGACTATTGACTGGCCGAGGAAATTTGATGTTGCTGGGACAGCTTTTCACTATAAGAGACCAACTGATGAACCAGAATCCTTAGAAGCTTTAGGTCCCACCTCGGAAAATCTCATTGTCATGGTACATGTGCCTGTGCCACTTCATTTCTCCTCTTTGTAATCTGTCCTTTGAAGTAGGATGGGGCAGGATTTATTATCTAAAATTAAAGTGATGAAGTTAAATAATGGTAAAATGCCCAAGAGTGAAAAAATCTGTGTAAAGTTAAGACTGTGCTGCTCTTTCCATGTGACTGATCTTTTCAATACTTGCCTGAATAATAGTTGTATAACCAAACAAGGCAAATGAGAGAAATGGCTTCAAATTACCCATGAAAATGGAAGGAGAATATTCAATATAAGTACATGTGTTCTAAAAGTTGTCTTAAATTTCCCTTAAGACTTAGATTATGACATTTTCTTCTTCAAAAGAAATAATAAATATCTGAATACAGGCTCATTGTGTTTTAATTATCTTCACCAGTTGTTTTCAATGGCAGGTTCTGCTTCAGGAACAGAATTTGGGAATTAGGTATAAATTCAATGTTCCCATCACCCGGACGGGCAGTGGAGACAATGAAGTTGGCTTTACATGGAATCATCAGCCTTGGTCAGAATGCTCGGCTACTTGCGCTGGAGGTAAGACACCCACTAGGCAGCCCACCCAGAGGGCAGGATGGAAAGCAAAACATTCTGAGCTATGCTTTGTGTTTGCTAAAGAAGCTAATTGGAAACATTTCTTGCAGGTTTGCTTCAAGCTGTAATTTAGCAAAAGAAACTTTGCTTTAATTGCATTATATTCCGTTTGTTTTTAACCTCATGTAATTTGTACAGATTTGTTGGTAAAATACATCTTGGCACAATGAGTGTCTCTGCTGGTGCTTCTCCCAAGACTATCTTGAAGGTGGGCTGTTTGCTTTCCGTGAACACTTTCTTGGTAAAGAACATCAAGAGTTTTAAATAAGAAAATGAGCAAGAATCAGACGGCACAGATGCAACATCTTGTAATGGGGGATGAGAATGTATGTCTGTGTGCTTGTATGTTTGTGTTTGTGTGCTTGTGTGTTTCCCACAATCCTATTCAAACTCCCTTCTGCAGCCATCCAAGTTAAGGGGCTATATTCTGGGATACTACAATAATTACTGGTCTGGGTCTCTGGCTTAATGGTGTTTGCAGACCCCATGGTAGTCCCTCAGAGAGGTAGCTGCTAGGCGGTGGTTGGTGATGTGTTGGTTGTCCCATGTGCGTTTTTCATGGGTGCCTTTTCCCCACAATTTACTCTATTCCTAATCCTCCTCCCTCTAGTGGCCACCAATGCAATTCTTTACCTCTGGCTGGGAGAGCAGGACAGTTGGCTTCCTTCAAAGCCAACACCCTTGCTGCTGCATGGACTGGTGAGTAGAAGTGCTGTGCAAGCAGCATCTTCCTTCTCTCTGGAGACTAAATGCATCGCCTCCACCGTACACCTTGATCCTAATAGGCGAGAAAACAAACGTATCCCTCAGGTCTGTGCTGGACTAGAGCACCTCACCATTCCAAAAGCAAAGGTGGAATTTTGAATAGTGATATATAGAATGGGAGAGATGGAACTAAAGTTAATCATCCCATTTTACCCCGTATTCCAATTACCTATTTTTCCTTTCTAAACTACTGAGAAACACGTGGTTTACATAGACTTTATCCTACTAGTCCTGTACTCACTGATTCTCTAAATACTTCTGATTCTCAAAGCTTGAATCAGAGAAATTATTTTTCACAGAAGTGAATCATCACAATAATAGATTCAGTAATTTTAAACTCATATAGAATTAAATCATGGATTAACTCCAACTACTGTAGTAAGCACCATAGGAAAAAAAAACAAATGAATAATAATAATTTTTCCTTCTGTGTGAAGTGTCATGAACCATGGTTATGTGTAATCTGTGGCATATTTATAAAGATCTCTAATTCCCATCCGTTTTATGTGTGAAATGGCTGGTGATTTATAAAATTTTAAAACCAAAGGGCATTACTACTTCTTTTAATAAAGTAAAGAATATTTGAAATGAATCATTCAAGTGAATGCCATTATATTATAGTGGCATTTGTACATATATCTTTCTTTGTTTCAATTAAATTCCTTTTAATTTAATCCATAAATTAACTTTCCCCTTTTCACATACCAAAAAGAAATCTTCATGATAACAGTAAATACATAATTCAGGCCCTGAGGTAAGGTGGGATAAGCTTATTAAAGAAGAGTCAAAAGAATTTAAGTTTAGGAAATCTAATGAAGTTTAAATGTCGAGGTTGATTATCTCAGAGAAGAGAAGGCTGAGGGAAAGTATATTAGTTTCTTCAAATATGTGACAGAATGTTGAATGGGAAATTCTTAGTGCCTATTCATCTTTTTACTGACAATTGCTATATTTGGGGATGGTTTAGATATAGTCTTGTCTGAGGCCAAGGAGGGATTAAGTAAATTCTCAATGTTCCTTCTAACTCTGATTCTTTTGTTCAGAAAGGAGATAGTCTAACAAAAAAGGGGACTGGATTTAGGAGAGAAACTATGATTTTATTAAAGTAAAGAAGTATGAAAAATCTGAATGTGTGTTCTTCTTTTCCATGACCCTAGTTTTGAGAAATCATAAAAGAAGATAGACTTCTTGTGCTAGGAGATAAAACAAAAGAAAAACAAGGAGGAAGCAAAACCATTGCAAAGAGAATTTTCTCTTTGTTGTTTGTACTTCTTTCTTCTCTTGTGGGGCTACCATCCTAGATATTTGAGGTGGTTCTGGAAACTAGAATTCTGCTCAGTTATGAGTGACAAGCCTTTAAAAGGCCATTGCCTTCTTTGGAAGAGAGATGTACAGTGTTTGAAAATTGGCAGGCATAGTGTGATGAGCTGTTATTTCTTGCTAAGTAGTTTGCAAAGTGTGGTCACCAGACCAGCAGCATCAGTGTTACCTGAGAATTTATTAGAAATGCTAATTTGGGACCCATCTCAGACCTACCCGATAACATCTCTCTGGATGGGGCCCCAAACTCTGTTTTAACAAGTTCTCCAAGTGATTCTGATACTCACTCAGATTTCAGTACCACTGGTCCTAGTTCACAGAGAATCTGAAACCTGGTGCTCTAGACACACAGAATTCACATCCTTATCACTGAAGTCTATGCATCTCACTAGATTCATTTTGCATCTAAAACAATTTCTGGAGCATACTAGGAACTCAGGAAATGTTTATAGTAAGTGAATGAGCAAAAGGAGTGAATTACTTTTTACAATTTTATATTTGTGTTATTCTTTCCAGTGGGGGAAATTAGAGTTTAGAATTGCTGTTTTTCCTGTAAGGTGGATCAAAGCAATTTCTAGAGAAAGACAGTATAATTTTGATTATAGTCTTTTGTTTGAATAGGTTGAAAATATTTCCTAGAATGTAGAGTATAGATATCAATTATTAGAGTTATTCTTCCTATACATAACCCCACTTTTAACCCTAGGTTCTTTAAATATTGGAGGCTTAGGGCTGAGTGAAGGAAAATCCCCTAGGGCTCCAGGAATCTTGGTCAAAGAGCCAGAGTCTGTGCTCAGTGATGGTAAATGGAGCTTCATCTGTGGTTACGGAGTCTTTCAGGGAAAGTCGTATCTTCTCAGTTTCACTCAGAAACTAAAGCTGAATACTAAACATGAGTTTTTAATTGGAATACTCTATGCTCATCTTTCCAGGGTGGTGCTAGGTATCTTGAAACTGCCAAAACTTTTTAAAATGTAAAACAAAGGAACAGGAAAGATCTCAAAGAACTTTCTATTGCTCGTCAGCTCATGCCTCGTCAGTGTTCTCACCTATGCTGTCCTGCAAATGTCTAATTAATAGCAAGACCTTTGGACTTTGAGTTTGGGAGCAATGTTGGTATTTTCTCATATGAAATCTTTCAAGATAAGAAGTTTTGAGACTGTTTTTCTGTTGCTTAGCAGACATAATGACAAATCTAAGACTGCAGGAAACATTACTGGTGATTCAGTCCAAGAAATGGTCTTTTCTCTGAGTCAGTGATGACACACTTCCTTAGCCTGAATAAAAACATTGAGATGCTGTGGGGTGTTGTCTTCAGGATAAATGTGATTTTTAAGATACAGTTGTGACTCTTCCTCTCTGAGAGAATTAAAACTTGACTATTTTCTAAACCATTGTTATTCCCACTATTGTGGGAATTCCTTATCCAAAGTATTGTATACTCTGTAATTAATCTGACTTCTAAACTTATATACTACTACTGTATTCATGATTAATGTGTTAATTGATAAAGCTTGGCCAGGTAGTGAGAACTGTACTATTTTAAAATACAAAACTTTAGGAGTTTTTTAAGTAGCAATTTATGATGATATGCCTTTGCTATGACATTTAAACATTTAAATAATAAATAACATTTCTTATTTAAATATTTGCTCAGGCTATAAAGAATCCGCCTGTAATGCAGGAGACCTGGGTTTGATTCCTGGGTTAGGAAGATCCCCCGGAAGAGGGCATGGCAACCCACTCCAGTATTCTTGCCTGGAGAATCCCCATAGACAGAGGAGACTGGTGGGCTGCAGTCCATGGGGTCACGAAGAGTCAGATATGACTGAGTTACTAAGCCCACACAATAAATAATATATGTTTATCTTTTGATTTTAGTTGTATATGCTCTCTTTTTACTGATGTTTGGGTAGATGTATGGTTTTCAAGTTGTAGCATGCATCAGAATCACCTGGAAGGCTTGTTCAAACAAGATTGCTAGATTCTGCCTCCATTTTCTGATTTGGTACGTCTGGGGCAGACTCCAAGAATTTGCATTTCTAACAAATTTTCAACTGATGCTGGTAATACCAGCATTCACTGGTATCAGTGAACCATACTTTAAGAAATCATACTTCAAGAAACAATGGGCTAGATGCTTAGATTTTATAAAGTAAATTATTAAACTGATAAATCTTTTAGATAATAATCCATATTACAGTTGTAATCACATTACAACTAATCTTTTTAATGATAAATGGTTCTAGCTCATCTATGTAATAACAAATAAAATTTTACAGTTCATGAAACATTTTTTGGTGCCCTGTTTCATTTTTTCATTCTAAATAGCACCAGGAGATAGGTAAAACTTGAGTTTTAACTTGCTGAAATCAAGACTTCAAACTAGTGATTTTCTAAGTGTAGCATTTTCTTATAATAAAAATGGTCCTTTACCTTGAAGAGAGCTTTTTCATCAGTTGACATTATCAGTAGAGCAACAGGCCTACCTTTGCATGAAATGTTCCCTTGGTGTCTCTTAATTTCCTATTCTATTGTTTTCCTCTATTTTTTTGCATTATTCACTGAATGAGGCTTTCTTATCTCACCTTGCTATTCTTTGGAACTCTGCATTCACTTGGGTATATGTTTCGCTTTCTCCTTTGGCTTTTACTTCTCCTCTTTTCTCAGCTATTTATAAGGCCTCCTCAGACAACCATTTTGCCTTCTTGCATTTCTTTTTCTTGGGGATAGTTTTGGTCACCACCTCTTGTACAATATTATGAACCTCTGTCTATAGCTCTTCAGGCACTCTATCAGATCTAATCTCTTGAATCTATTTGTCACTTCCATGGTATAATCATAAGGGATTTGATTTA